CCATTTTGGATTTTAACCTACATTCGCGGAATCCTTCCTATCTCTGTACCACCCAGATAGAAATTCTGACAAAATTTATGAGTTCTAACCAATCAAAAGAGTGCACTGGACCATTGCTAAAGGAAGAGCGCCGGTGACTGAAGTAAATTACCAGTGCTGTTATATATATATATATATATATATATATATATATATATATATATATGTGTGTGTGTGTGTGTGTGTGTGTGTGTGTGTGTGTGTGTGTGTGTGTGTGTGTGTGTGTGTGTGTGTGTGTGTGTGTGTGTGTGTGTGTGTGTGTGTGTGTGTGTGTGTGTGTGTGTGTGTGTGTGTGTGTGTGTGTGTGTGTGTGTGTGTGTGTGTGTGTGTGTGTGTGTGTGTGTGTGTGTGTGTGTGTGTGTGTGTGTGTGTGTGTGTGTGTGTGTGTGTGTGTGTGTGTGTGTGTGTGTGTGTGTGTGTGTGTGTGTGTGTGTGTGTGTGTGTGTGTGTGTGTGTGTGTGTGTGTGTGTGTGTGTGTGTGTGTGTGTGTGTGTGTGTGTGTGTGTGTGTGTGTGTGTGTGTGTGTGTGTGTGTGTGTGTGTGTGTGTGTGTGTGTGTGTGTGTGTGTGTGTGTGTGTGTGTGTGTGTGTGTGTGTGTGTGTGTGTGGTGTGTGTGTGTGTGTGTGTGTGTGTGTGTGTGTGTGTGTGTGTGTGTGTGTGTGTGTGTGTGTGTGTGTGTGTGTGCGCGCGCGCGTGAAAACATGTCCTCAATAGCAAACGGGCCATATTCAATGCTTTTTTGGAGCCCCTTTGCTATCAGAGGACTCTTGTTAACCTTGTGACCCCCTTGCCAACGCTATGGCTGCCCCCCCCCCCTCCTGCCTGGATCCGACCCTGTTATCGACCATGCCGTATCAACTGGCGTAGGTTTTGTGCCGATCAGTTTCATAGGCTGGGAGCAGTGGGTTACCTGCAAACTAATTTCCGGTAATTTCGGGATTTTTCGTCAATCGTTGACCTGATCCAAGGTTAAAATGTCCTGAAAAGTATAGATGATCGACCATGACGCATTGGTAGGTAAAGGCTGTTTGCTGGTCGCCCCCCCTTAGACTCGGGGCATGAGGTTGCCTGAAAAGTGTAGTGCCACCTGTGATGTATGGTGCCACCTGCTGGTGGCACCACACATCGCTCAGAAGCCGACAACACTAATCTCGGACTCACCCATCTTCTGAAAGGCCTACGTTGATGTTACGCGGTCTGAGGGCCTACGCTATGGAACACAATATCATAACATAAGCCAAGAAATAAGGTAAGTGGACTAAAGCTGATGCGAAAATCAGTTAGGATCAGGGCGTATGGGTGCTCGTAGTGCTCGCAAGACATATTGCATCATGACAATGCAGCGATGATTGACTAGTTACCAAGTTACATGGGGTTACTCGACCTGTGAGCGTGCGCAGGCTGACTTAGCCTAAAGATGCGTCGGTAACGATGCATCTAACCTAAATTGAGATGACACGTCCGTCTGCCTGCGTGTGCACCGCCCTGGCCAGACACGCAGCACAGACGGCTGAGGGATTCCCGTTAGATTTGCACATAGCGTGGTTTCAGCCTTCATGGCGATCCATATCAGATCGCGCTCGCCTGAGTCGGACGTCACTACACCGCCAGCTCAGTCCCTAGCCGTATTCCGAGGCCTGAGCCGTACCACTGACGGTAAGCGTCTCCCAGCCATGTGTTTCCTTCAGGCACGCTTAGATTTGCGATACCAACATTTGTGCCTGCGACCGTCTGCCTCCTTTGTGAACATTTTCATGGGGACATTTGCAATCGAAACGATTGCAATGCGAGATAAGCACGGACGAATATCCGTGTCATCACCCGCGCTTACGAACATTTGCGCTCGCTCACATCTACGGTACGAATAATTACAGTACCTACCCTGGCGGTTTGAAACATCTGCGGTCCAAAAAATTGCAGTGCTTACGCTAACAGTTTCCGGGACATCTCTGCTTGCGAGTTACGAGCGTCTGTAATACGAATATCTGCGTTATGTACATCAGCCACTTCAAACATTCACCCTTATGGACATCTGTAATACGAATGTTTGCGGTACGAACATTGGCGGTTGCGAACACTTGCCCTTTCGAACATCTGTGTGCGTACCTTAGGCTGCTGACATATGCCTTACGTACATATGTTGCACGTAAATTCGTCAGTTTCCCGGCAGACGGACCCTTCACAATGCCGGCATAATATTGCCAGTGTTCGGGGCAGATGAGGAGGCATGTTTGTGTACTGAGTGGGAGTGGCACGCGGGGCGGTGTTCGGTGCAGGTGAGGAAATGTGTTTGTGTACTGGATGAGCCGGCACGCGGGCCACGCGGGCCGGTATTCGGGGCAGATGGGGATGTATTTTTGTGTACTGGGTGGGAGTGAGGCGCAGGCCGGTGTTCGGCGCCGGTGAGGGGATATGTTTGTACACTGGGTGATAGTGAGACGCGGGCGTGGTGAGATGTGCGCCGGTGAGGATCAAGTGTACATTGGTATGCGGAGGTTGGCATGGGTGGCAAAGCGGAGTGGGGTGTGTTCGCAGATATAAGATTATGTGAGCGAGGTGTGTCCGACTCGCAGTCTTACCAGGACTTCTTTCAGGTGTGGGTGTGTGTGCTGACGTGTGTATAGAATAGATTGGATCGTGATTAACTCGGCTGGGTATGCATATGAGAGACGCAATTTTGCCAAATGATTTTGAGAAGCTGAGCAGTCATTTGTTTTAAACATTTTATGTAAGATTTTTGAATGATTGGATCTCTGGGATCAAGGCTCACGCTAAGCAATGCTTGTTATGTGAGCCCTGACTCCTACCATCCGACTGCGCAATGCCAGGTCAACGGCAGAATTTGGTGCGAAAACAGAATGTTTCACAATGCTCGGCACGGTCGGTCCTGCCCTCTGAAGTTACGTGATCTTTCGCGCGGCCGCTGCCAGTCTGCGAAAGAGTCGTTGCGAAGCCGTTGTTAATCGCCTTGACATGCAGTCGGCATTTGATTTTTGTGGTAGGCCTTGATGACGTTTGTAAACTCTTTTTAACTCTTTTTTTACTCTTTTTCTTCGTGACTCTTTTTGTAAACTCTTTTTAACAAGGATGCACTGAGTGTGACGGATCTCACTTTCCACATCTTGGTCGTTGCACCCTCTGTTCACTAGAAGATGTGATCGTTCCAGTTTCACGTGTAGGCCCTCCCCCCCCCCCATGAAACACAGTTGCGAACTGCGTGCCTGGTATTCGCTTTAATTACACCGCGCTTGTAGCAATCTGAACATTCCAATCAGAAATTCCTGCACGGAGTGTGCGTCCATGAAAGGGTCATGTCTCAGTCGTGGCTTTAATACCGAGCGGGGACCCCACACCATTTCAGCCAAGGAGATTGACGAGGGGTTCGAGACCCCGTGTCGCCAGGATGGCAGCCGGTATGCACCTTTTGCAGAATCGACTTGTGAAACAAACCCCCAACGAAAGTTTTTAGTCTGTGCGTTTGCAATTGATTAAATGACGTTTATTTGGGTGGCCTCAAAAAATCTGGTCTGTTAATACGTATCGTCAACAGACAAATGGACGGCTAATAGGCCATGAGGACAAAGACAGCCATCCAAAAACTAACGCACTCGAATACAGGCATACGCACACCAGTTACGACTCCACCGCACAAACCGGTTATGACAATTTCAGATATCTCACAGCATGTCTCTTCAAATGATTTGAGAACGAAACAATCGGGGTAGCCGAAGACAGTTCTAGAGTTCTTTGTACATCTTGAGTGCGCGAATAAAAAACGGCTTTTTGCCATCTCAGTAGGCGAACGAGGCATTACAAGATCCCTGTCTTACCTCGTGGGCCAACCACGCCTTCATACCCAGCACAGACTACACGAGCAAGTGAGTCGAGCTCGCCCGAATGGAGGGTCTTGTGGATGGGTGAGATAGTATGATACATGCCTAGATCTGCAGCAGGAAGCTAGCTATGCCTCTAGTGAAGGTCCGACACATGATCTTTTTTTGTGGCCAAAAATGAGCATCGTGGTATAGTTAAACATTTTAAAAGAAATCGGTGACATTTTGAACTGTGAGCTGTTGCCGTATACTGATATGCAATAACGAACCTGTGACAGAACCAAGACGTTCACCATGGTGGTCAGGATACTGGCAGCCAAGCAGTGCTTCAGAGGTGATGACCAGCTAAGGCACCAAAAAGCGTTCACTGACGAGCAAAACGTGTGAATTCCATTGAGATTACAATCAACGGCCATGCCGAGATATTTTCCTTCAAACAGGCGACAGGAAGATGTACACGGAATTTGACACTGTAGGGGGGAACGGTGCGGACATTTTGTTGGCTCCAGACACCATCAGCCGCGTTTCATCGGCATTGACCTGAAGGCCGCTGGAGCTGAACCAATCATCAAGTTAGGCCAACACATGTTACAAACGACTGATAGTGTTATTTAACTTAGATTTGGGACCATCAGGAATCTTACAAGCACGAACAGCTAAGGCTGGGGTTGCAGGTTGAGTAAAATCCAATGACGTTGGCCGTTGCAGATAACACCACGTCAAGGGCAGGAGGCGTGCGAGAACGACCGTCGTGAAGGATTGCTTACGGAAGTCTTTCAAACTCAACATAATCGCAATAGGTACAAATAACATGAAAAATAGAGGGCCTACCTTAACTTCCCCAGCTTCGCCATCGACTTTCCGCGCAGTTTGCAGCGATGTAAGCGACAATCTGTTTATTTCATCAACTTAAAAATCGCGCGGGTGGAGAACATGCGAAGGCTGCCCTCTAAACCTACGAATTAATGTCTTAAAGCGCTCAAGGATAGTTATCTCCTACACGTCACCATTTTCATTCGCCTTCAGTGAATGAATTCTTCTCCAGTTATGCTCCATAACATGGCACGGAAGGCTGAACAGAGGGCACCGTGCAGTGATAACTCCCGGCCGCCGATAATCACGCTCTGATGTGACGTCTGTTTCTGCTTCTATATGTATATCCCGTTCCTTCTTGGTGTAGCGATCAATGCTGTTTCTCTAGCTCCATGGTGAATAAGAGATCAGTGCCCTTTAACTTCTCCGCCATCCACCTGTCAAACTTCGCACTCATCTCTGGCGTGAAATGATTCTTCCAGTCACCTGTTTTGCCCTTCCTTATGAAGTCGCCGCGATCTGCATAGAAGAAACCCGACGCCTTTCCCTCTTCCCTGTTGACGTAAGAGTTATTTTTGAAGTTATCAAAATGGAGGTGCTCTGCTAGCTCATCTACTTGCTCACACGAGAATGACTTGCCCAGAAACTTGGCTACCCTGCGGATCTCTGATTGGAGATCACGTTTCATGTCTTCATAGAAGATGAAGCAGATGTTGGGGTGGTGACGCATATTCCATGCTTCTATCATGTGCTCCATGACCGGAGTTGCCACCATGCGGCCCTCCATGAAATACTTCACGAACATCTGAAACGACAGGTCAGAGCTGTGCTTCCATAACGTTGCATGTCAAAACAGGTATTGGAGGAAAAAATTCGAAGAGTGCGTTAAATATTTTCAAGAGAATGTCAACTAAACCTGTAGTCTCCAGTGTCCTGTATTTTTGTTGATACCTTACCTGCAGATCTCCAAGGAAGTCGACGTGTGTCAGGAGTCTGCAATGGTGGAAGAAGGAGATGCAGACGTCCTTGGGATTCCTGGCCACGTACACCACCTTGCAGACATCCAGCACCCGCGGGTTAATCATGGACAGAGGCAAGTGCGTCTTTACGAAGCTTGGCTGGGCGCGGTGAGAACTGTTGTTTGGCTGTTGGGAAATATCTTCCATTCTTCGTACTGGTGCAAGTTGGGCGAGTATGTCTTTGTCAGTCAAGGCGTTGAGGTCCAAAAAATGCCACCTGCAAATACAAACGTTGTAGCGTGTTGTGAACACGTGGTGATTACGTTTAGAGGCTTTGGCTGACACATAAATCGTTTGGAAGCCATGTATACCGTGTCTGGTGCAGCCTTACCTCTCAGACAGGGTCGTCTTGGCCCCATCGTAATCTAAGTCATTGGCGATGAGCCACACCATCTCTTGGGTCCAGGTTGTGCCACACTTCGGAGGCGTCACTACCCAGACGTCCCCGGGCTTCGTTGGGTAGTTGTAAAGGTCTTCTATTTCCCCCGCACTGAATGTTGCAGACAGCTTGAAGCCCCAGTGGTTGAATGAAGCCAGTCCATTGGGATAGCCGGCGAAGTCTCGCGCGATAGCCTTTTGCGTCTCGCTATCCGAAGGGATTATCTTGAATGGGAATACCTCATTATCTGGGGTGCTCATCCTGCAAAAAAGAATGTTCCGAGCAATTCTCACCTGTCTTCAGTCAGATTGCAGCTCTGACGAACTCATCACTGGTGAGTTAACACCTAGCTGTGCTAAACGCTTATAACTACTCTGCACGCATTTACAAACAGCTCGCAGAAATGCAGTAGTTGCCGTCAAATGTGTGTGCGCCGAACTCAGACGCAACAATCAGCAGAAACACCCCGTTTATAACAGAGTTCACGAACGGACTCACATCTGGACAACGCGTATACAAAGTGCACGGACGGGTGACAAGGACATCAGTGTCATAGATAGCAGCTGGGTCACGAAGAATGTTCAGGATTCAGCTGCGCTTCTGCTTTGGTGTCACAAAACGGCGCGCACCAATATGCTGCAGGCGGGTGCACAACAAGACCACATGGTCACAAACTCTTGCCGTGTTTTTTGTTCGTCATTGGATGACATCACAGTCAGTCGCAATGTTCGCAGCCAACGCCATACCGTGGCATTTCTCGCAATTCGCAAAATAGGTCTGATGACGTGGGCGCACGAGGTGAGGTTCTCATCCGCGCCGGTGCCTCTCTCACGCAGCCGTTCAGCGGTAGGAACTGGCGATCACAGGCATCTGCGGTAGGCATAGGCTGTCGGAACGGTAGACGGGCACCGTCCACCGTGAATGAAGCGGGCCCGGGTGCACGAGGCACCAATGACAAGTTGATTTGGAGGCCTGGCGCCGGAGCGTAGCGTCAAACATCGGGCTTGACTGCCGGCCGCTCCGATGCGGGAAGCCGAGGCCGGTCGCCCAGCGGTGAGGAAGTTTCGAATCAGTTGTTCCGGGCGCACAAGCTGTGTGGTTGGTATGCGCGATGGAACTGCCTGTTTCATTCCGCCGCGAGCCCAATGTAGGCCGGATCGGTAATTCGCGGCATTTCGCACCGTGGTCTCCGTAGGGCAGGCTCTGGGAACGGACCAAATAGGGTGGAACTTTGCAGCCTTTTGAAGGGAGGGGGACGGGGATTTCTTTAGAGTATCACAAATATCTGAACTCTGTATTTTGACTGGTGTCAAATGTGAGCTTGTTATTGTTCGTTACTTGAGGCATGTTCTAAATCGAGCAGATGTTCACCAGCAAAAGGTAACTTTGTTAAACCTGCGTAGCGTTTGAACGAGGTGGAAGATATGTTTTACAGATGCGATGAGCACATCTCTCGCCTTTTGGTACGCCGCACTGTGGTCGCTCTGCGGTGATTGTTCCTTGAACCCTTCTGGGACCGCAAACGGATGCCGAGAAGCAGGCGGAGCAAGTGTGCGTAGCACTTCGGCAAGATGCGTTGATATGGCTAACTGTTGCAAGCCACATGGTATCTCACGGTGGCGGCTAGAGCCGTGCACTAGTTGATGACGCGAGATCTTAACGTCCGCTCGTTTCGTTCCATCACCAACACTTCATGTGCAAGGTTATCTCTTCGGGGTCATTGCAGTGCAGGTGCCATCATATGATATATACATATATATATATATATATATATATATATATATATATATATACATGGGATCTAGAAAATCCATATTCGCGGACGCATCCCACATTTGAAACCCCAACCAAGTGTAATTGTCTCGCGCGAGCTCTCAGTCTTGCGCGCAGTCTCAGTTCATTGGTGTCTATGCTCCCAAGCACATAGACACCATCTTTGGTGTCCATAGACCCGAAGTGGTCCGGGAAAAACGCGTAGCAGTCCTCGATGTATTCTTACCTGATGGTTGAACTTGTGACGGGAAGTGGGTCTGCACCGCCAGCAACGCGTGCGCTCTATTGCGCAGCACGTTGTCTTCTCTGCGTAGCCAGCGACCGATGCTGTGTACGGGCCTTATTGCTCGCAGTCCGTATGGCGCAGAGGCGGTGTTGTCTTCCCTCACGACTCCCGTACTCTGCCACACCTCCATTCTCTTTTATAAGTTATTATCCTGAAAACAACCGACCTTCAATATGCCTGGAGATACTGGTAGGACGATGATAAGAGGATGTTCGGCGACGAGACGTTCAATGGTGGCATGTGTTGCGCGCCCAATGTTGCTGCGCCTGAGTGTCCCCTTGCTGCGCCTGTGTACGCCCTTGTTGCGCCTGAGTGCGCCCCGACGGTCAGCTGGTAAGATAGTAGCAGCTGATGGCAGCTCTTGTCGCTGGTGGATCGGTTGGCCGGCTCGGGCAAGGGCGGCAAGATCCGCCGACATGGTGGATTAGGGCGGTGACGAAAATATATATTTCCACGCGACACTTGATGCCAAACATATTTTTGACCGAAGGTTTGGTGACGACCATAACAAAACATTAGAGCGCGCATCCCACGACCATACATGGGTTTCAGTGGTAAAATATTCCATGCCACAACACCAGCAAGCCTTTCCATAAACACCCTCTACCTTACCTTGCGGCCCCATGGTATCTTTCTTAGGCTCTATTTAAGTTAGTCGTTCACTTCGGGGACACGTCGGCGACTAATCAGTGCATTTCCTGTGGCCCGGCCGGTCGGCCGATTGGCTGTTTTTACCAACCGCCTCTCAATGTTCTAAACAAGACAGCAGAAAATACTGAAAAAAGATTCAGATATGGCAATTAATTTGGCCGGAAGGGCACGTTTCAATCGGTGCAGGTGAGGTCTAAAAAGCAGCATATGACGCAGGCCCGCAAGTTTTCCGAAACGGCTCGTCCGATTGCCTTCATGCTCCTCCTATCGATTTCGTGCGACGACGTGGGTCATGGGCACGCAATATCGAGACCTGACCTGAGGTCATATACCTCGAAAACGCGAAGGGAAAATTTAACGTGCAAATGCAGACAACTCAGCTCCCAGAGCCTACTGGATCGATCACCGTGAAACCTTCACCATTGGACGCCGCATACCTGTTTCCCTCTTGAAATTCCAGATTCGGTGACCCTGGGTCATGTCAAAAGTCCTTACAATTCACAAAGACCAAAATTCCTACCTGCAGACAATGCAAATTCAAAAATTCAACCTCATGCGACAAGTTTAATCAAGGTGCACTTTTTGATGGGAACAAACATAAAGGAAAATGCGCAATTATAAACGGCACCATACTTGCGGCTTCAACAGATAATTCAGGTAACTGGCGCGCTGAGTGATAGGGTTTGGCGGCTATCGGCGTGGTAGATTCAGAGCTGTAAGTTGTCGGTAAGCAAAATTTTTGGACTTTGCGAAACTTAACGCCTTTTGACCCAACCCAGGTTCACAGGTTGCGAAACATAACTTGTCTGCAAGCAAGATTTTTGGACTTCTAAATTTGACGACTTTTGAACTGGCCCAGAGTCACCAAATTTGGAACTGCAGGAAGGAATCAGGCATGGGGATCCAGTGGTGAAGGTTCCAAATTGACCAAATTGACCAAAATGCAAAATGGTCCGGTAGGCTCTGAAATCTGAGTTGTCTACATTTACATGTGAAATTTTCGCTTTGCGTTTTCGAGGTGTCTGATCTCAAGTGAGGTCTCAATATTGCCTCCCCATGACTCACCTCATTGCACGGAATCGATTGGTGAAGGATTCAAGGCGATCGGACGAGCCGTTTCCGAAAACATACGTGTCTGTGTCCTATGTCGGCTTTTTGACCCCACCTCGTTGCGATAGAACTGATATTCGTGAGGTTGGCGAGGACTTGCAAAATGCGCTGGAACTTTGCAAGCGACATTCGCATTGCGGTTTCGTGAGTGCCCATCTTGGGTTATTTTTTTCTTGCAGGGGGGGGGGGCATTATTGACTTAATTGCTTGACAGCTCACGGAGGGTCGACGAGACGATCAAACCAATGTGGAAATTGACCTGTGATTATTCAGACTGACTTTTCAAGACACAGAACAGGCTGTTGACTCACTGTAGCAGTCTGAACCACCGGGCTTTCCTCCCTTTTAAGAGTTCGTGGGTTCGGTGCTGGGGGCTGACGACACTCCGTAGGGAAGGGAATGGCAGGAGGTGAGAAGAGTGCTGAAGTGCCAATTTAAGCCATTGTTGCGTAGTTCCTAGTTGAGCATAGTTACCAGTCCAATATAACTCCAAACCAGCGTGCGTATCTAGCTCCGATTCAGTTCAGACATCCCCCCACCAATTATCTTTGAAAACTATATCTCTCGTTGAAACGCGGTCATCTTATTTATGTTTTGTTACCATTGAAATGGGGAATTCACAGTTATATGTCTCTGGTTGAAACGCAATCATCTTAGTTATGTTTTGTTACCATTGAAATGGGTGATTCACAGCTATACTTTTTCAATGTTAATATTGATTGCTGGAAACTGATATAATAACCAACGATGTCAGCAGTGAGGAGGCAGTGAGGGGTGAGGAGCAAGGAGTTTGAGAAAATATAGGCGATGTGAAGGGGGTGTTGAAGGTTTCATTGCCATCTCCTCTTAACCAAGACGTTTACTTTCAGATATGAAATGGTTTTGTGGGATTCTTGTCCTATTGTTAAGGAGTTCAGTAAAAACTTGGCGTCTGCCTCTGAGAGCAATTTTGGTCATTTGCTGATGATAGCAGTCCTTTTGCAACATGAAAAGCTGGAAATGAATCATTCTCAGGCGCCCATTTTTATGCATAATTTATTTGTACCTATGGGCATCACAATTGCAAGGGTAAAAATACAGGATATTCACTATTATTTTCAAGTGAAACATTGAGGTGAAACATTTTTTTGATGGCACCCTGAACATTATCACTATCTATATTAAGTGCAGGTTGTAAGGGAGAACTGCCTACCTTAAAACCAGCCCACACCGGTAGTAGAATACACTATAGTTAATCTGCTTGTGACATAACGTCAGGGGTGTCGGTTTTCATACATGATAAGGGGGTGGTGGTTAGCGAGCCATGGGCATCCCCCCCCCCCTCCAAATCAGCATATTTATCCTGCTTTGTTTTGATTGCAGGTAATTTGCACTCCTTAGAATTCTGTATTTTATGACATATACCACAGATACCTGGCTTGGTTGCTGTTACCCCTCTCCCCGCTCAGGTGACGCATTTGGTCGCGAAAGCATATATCTACAATTAAGCGACTCATTTGGACACCTGCTTTAGGGGGACGATAAGTGCTTAAGGGCTTTTCAGGCTACTGAAGGACCGTCACCGCGCCACTCAAGAGCCCCTGAGTTACTCAGACGATCCCTGAGTTCCCAGAGCCCAAGGTCCGCCCAGGGCCTCATGAGGAGCTCAAAACCCTTTATATCCGCATGACCCTCTGTATACTTGCGTGAGCTTCAGTATACAAAGGGTGAAAGAGTTGGCTAGGATCGGCGATAGCTGGTTCGTGTCGTGTTGGTGAAAATACATGTCATTGTTTGACGGATAATTATTAAGCCTAGGTCCGGAATTTCAGATGCACTCGGTTCGTCAAAACATGTAACAGTCTTCCGAGGATGGGCTACAGCTGTAAATGATTCTTTTTTGGTGTTGTTCTTTATCTTTTGTGTCTTGCTCAGCATAACAAGAATATAAAACGACCGGCATTCCCTCGAACAGTTCTGTGATCTCCTTCTCTCTAACCCCGATGCACAATTCTTCTAGCATGCCCCCACTGCCTTTTGCTTAGCACATGTGCAGTCGCCTTCACCTCAATCTGAGCCCATCCCGAAACTTAATATATTGCTCCTTGCTTTTCAAGCAGCCTAGAGACTCACTTTAAACCTGAATGTACTGATTGCTGTGGGGCATCGAAAGTCCCCCACCAGGCAACACAAGTGCAGGGCTTAGAGCATGCCCATGGTATGGTGGAGAATATGATGATGGTTGCGGCCTGGCTCGAAGTGATCACGTGGTTTTCATTAGGAAACATGGCCTTGGGGAGGCCCGCATGTTTTACGTCATCCTTCAGTGTTACCTACCACCAGCTAGAATTTTGTCATGTGCTCAGCTGCTCTGGCTGCCGAGGTCCTGCGCCGTTTTTTTCCGCGTTCGAGGATGGCAAATTCAGCCATAGATCAAACTTTAGCGCAAGACCACGGCAAGTCCGGAGTGTGAAGGACGACCGCCGTATCTTGTTTTACTGCTGACGATTTTGTGATTAAAATACTCCATTGTTTGGGGCCGGTGTGCTTGCATTCTTCGCAGTAGTAGATATCCCAGCATTGCTCGAGCGATATTTTATAAATGGACGTGTCGGTTGTGTGCATGATATTGCGAGTTGTGTTGATAAAAGAGGCTTTAGGTGATACGCCGATTTATGATTAAGCTGCTGGGCATAAACGCCATTGTCATTTCTTGTCATATATTATCGCGTTACCGTGCCGGCGACAATTTTGTTAGCAGAAAATTCGGCCGGCGACACAAAAAGCATTTTTACCACCCCTGGGCTCACGGGCGCCTGCGTGGAGCGACCCAGCTCGCAGATTCTTGTCCTCCAGTACCTAGGTGCGTCCTTGCGATTGGCGGGGGGGGGGGGGGGGGGCGGGAGGTGTAAGACTCGGGCTGGGTCTTGCAATGTTTCTTGATATGAGCTCAATGGCTGAACCAATTTGGCGACCTGATCGCTTCTTCAAGTCGCCCATGACGTCAACGGCAGTCGGCGGCCGAACGGGTGGGCGGTAGCCAAACGCGAGTCGGAACGCAACGAGCGGCTTGCTCTGACTGCTCTTTTCTGTGAACGCTCATGTCAAGGCTTAATGTGAACTAATGGTCTTTTCATAAATCCACGTCGATGTCTTTTAATTGACACTGATAGAGGGAGAAAACAAACACGTAGAGCGTAATAGACAATTCTGTGTATTCAAGCACTCGACCTGTTTTCCCTAACTTTCACCGTTCACGCTTTGCGCTACGTCAGATCATGCCACTTTCAGATCTACCTAATGTTAGTGGCGAATGGTTAGTGAAGTCCGAGAACGATCTACAAAGTGGTGGAGCTTCATTACATAGGTTAGGCAGAGCTCAGCACAGAAAAGTGGCTTCACTCCCTCTCAAAACACTTCGCAAAATGGACGTCTCCTCGGATTTCGCCCACTTACCTCTAAGACATCGGTCGGGCCCGAATGGAACAGGAAGCTGCACCCTTGCATCTAAGATGCGCATTTTGCCGTTTGCACAATGCTATCACTAAACATGCTGTGAACTTAGCCACACGACCCCATTTGATCTGGAAGTACCAGACTCGGGCTCGATGGGAGGCGGATCTGATGCTATCCACGCCGGGACCGATCAGTAAAAAGTCTGAGGGATTATGTCAGGTCCCCAACGATCAGCAGAGCAAGGACAACTTGGTGACGCATGGCTTAATTGTTCGCACTAGGATCCTCGTCCGGTGTGTTTGTTACACAGCGTTTTGGCCAGTTTGCGTTCCAGCCGCCGTCAGTGCTACCGAGTCTTTAGTACGACTAAATGATGCTTGGAAGTTAAAAAAACGGGGAAGCTCCAAAGAAAATGTGTACAGACAGATGTCAATTCGAATGACACTGAAACTTGTCTTTCAGAATGTTAGTAATTTATGATCGCCTTCACGCACACGCACATGCACGTGCACACACACACCACACACACACACACACACACACACACACACACACACACACACACACACACACACACACACACACACACACACACACACACACACACACACCACACACACCACACACACACACACACACACACACACACACACACACACACACACACACACACACATATATATATATATATATATATATATATATATATATATATATATATATATATATATATGTATGTATATAACTACCTGTGCTGTTCTTTAAAAAATCAGTCACCCGCCGTCAGATCTTGTTCGAATGTGCCTAAACACCGTCCCGTATTTCTCCCATCTTTCCTCCTCACAAGCGACGGCCTCAAACATGCGGTCACGTCTGGATTTCTGACCAATGTCCGTCTCAGTTTTCATAGCTCCAAAGGCTGAAAACCTCCAATTCGTATTCAGACCTACCTGAATTCAATTTCAGTTTCGCTCCGCATCATAGCACGACAGGGTGAACAAAACCAGCGGCGAACTTTAAAGTCCTGGACACCAATGATCACGCACTGATGTGACGTCCTACATCAATCCTGTTTCACGCATCCTCCATGGTGAATGAAAGATCAGTGCCCTTTAACTTCTCTGCCATCCACTTGTCGAACTTCTCACTCATCTCTGGCGTGAAATGATTCTTCCAGTCACCGATTTTTCCCTTTCTTATGAAGTCGCCCCGATCTGCATGGAAGTCGCCCGCCGTCTTTCCTTCTTCCTTGTTGACGTAAGGGTTCTTTTTGAAGTTATCAAAATGAAGGTGCTCTGCCAGCTCATCTACTTGCTCACACGAGAGTGACTTGCCCAGAAACTCGGCTACCCTGCGGATTTCTGATTGGAGATCACGTTTCATGTCTTCAAAAAAGATGAAGCAGATGTTGGGGTGGTGACGCACATTCCATGCCTCTACCATGTGCTCCATGACCGGAGTTGCCACGATGAGGCCCTCCATGAAATACTTCACGAACATCTGAAACGACAGATCAAAGCTGTGCTTCCATAACGTTGCATGTCAAAACAGGTAGTGGACGAAAAAATTCGAAGAGCGCGTTAAATATTTTCAAGTATATGTCAACTAAACCTGTAGTCTCCAGCGTCCTGTATTTTAGTTGATACCTTACCTGCATATCTCCAAGGAAGTCGACGTGTGTCATGAGTCTGCAGTGGTGGAAGAAGGAGACGCAGACGTCCTTGGGATTCCTGGCCACGTACACCACCTTGCAGACGTTAACACGCGCGGATGGATCATGGACAGAGGCCAGTGCGTTTTGACGAAGCGTGGCTGGGCGCAGTGGGAGCTGTCGCTTGACTGTTGGCAGGCGGCATCTGATCTCCGAGTAGTCTTCAGATCAGGATATTTTTCTCCGTCCGTCAACGCACCAGTCCTAAGAAAATCCCACCTGTGAATGCAGATCGCGCAGTGTATCACGAGGGCCGCGATTTTTGTGGAGGCAATGTCGGGACTAAAATTTGTAGGCGGAGTGATGTCATGTGACAATTATGTTCAGAGGCTTTGGCTGGCAAATGGATCGTTTGGCTGCCATGAACACCGTGTCTGGTGTAACCTTACCTCTCAGACAGGGTCGTCTTGGCCCCATCGTAATCTAAGTCGTTGGCGATGAGCCACACCATCTCTTGGGTCCAGGTTGTGCCACACTTCGGAGGCGTTACTACCCAGACATCCCCGGCCTTCCTTGGGTAGTTGTAGAGGTTTTCTATTTCTTTCGGACTGGACGTGGCAGACAGCTTGAAGCCCCAGTGGTTAACTGAAGCCAGTCCATTGGGATAGCCGGCGAAATCTCGCGCGATAGCCTTTTGTGTTTCGCTATCCAAAGGAATTATCTTGTATGGGAATGCCTTTTTATCTGGGGTGCTCATCCTGCAAAAAAGAACGTTACAAACAATTATCATATGCCCTCAGTCAGATTGCAGTTGCACCGAGTACATCGCTGGTGGGCTAACACTTGACTGTGCTGAAAGCTTATAAATACTCTGCATGCATTTTCAAAAAGTTCGCAGAAATGCAGTGACGCCGTCCAATGTGTGTCCACAGAACTCAGACGCCACAACAAACAGAAACACCCGGTTTTGTAGCATAGTTCACACACTTCTTCACATCGAAACAACGCGTATATCAAACGCCCGGTTTAGTGACAAGTACATCAGTGTCATAAATATCAGCTGGGTCACTGAAGGATGCTCAGCATCCAGCCGCAGTTCTGCCTTGACGTCACAGAACAATGCACAGAAATGTACTGCAGGTGAGTGCACAACAGTGCCACATGGCCACAAACTCTTGCCGTGTTTTTTTTTTGCCGGTGATGGCGTCACAGTAAGTTGTATCGCCCGCAGCCAACGCCACTCCTGATTCCCAACGTGTGCCCAAAAAGGTCTGCTGAAGAACGATGCTGGTGGTAAGATTTTCATCCGTCGTAGTGCATCGCTCACGTAGCCGTTCTGCGGTAGGCATGAGCGGGCGATCAGAACGGGAGACGCGCGCCGTCCACCGTGCATGGAGCGGCCCAGCTACAAGAGGCGCGACTGACAAGCTCATTTGGAGGCATGACGCCGGGCCGCGGTGTCGTCTGCCGACCGCTTTGGTGCGGGGAGCCGAGGCCGGCCGCCCAGCGATGGAGAAGCTCTAGGTCAGCTGTTCCAGGCGCAAAGGCTGGGTGGTGCGCATGCGCGATGGAATTGCCCGTTTCATTCCACCACGAGCCAATGAAGTCTAAAAGGGTAGGACTCTGCAGCCTTTTTAGGGTGGGGGACGGTGATGCCTTCAGAGTAACACAACTTTCTGCGCACGGTGTTTTAAATGATGCCAAAGGTGCGTTTGTTATTGTTTGTTGCTTAACACGCGCCCGGGTGGAGATGGGGGGGGGGGGGGATTAAAGTGAACTCCCCGAGATTTTTTTGAAATGGTTTGAACGGGGTCACGTAACCGCTCCAAATTTTGCAGAGCTGTATATAATTGAACAGCGTATTGTTTGGTATCAACAAATTAGATTTGCCTTGTAAGGTCGATGACCTACGGCAGGTCAAATCAGACCATGGGTCCAGTGAAGCCAATTTTTAGGGAATCGTTCAATCTGATGGAGCAACGGTGTTAGACGAAGCCATACATCTCTGAGATACTTTCTTAAGCGACGCAACAACTGAATGACCAAATCCCATTGACCTAGCGTCAGTTATGAAGGTCAGGCCAAGGTCAAGATCAACCTATTTAACTATTCTGGGGCTTCCTGAATAGGGTAGTTTCTGGTGCTCATTTCGAATTTATTGATAACAGAAACCTTATAAGACGTCTTCCATGAACATCTTATGGTTCAGAACAGGTCACTGACCTAAAATGACCGAGGTGAGCATTTCGTTTCATGAACATACCGCCTAGCGTAATTTTTGTCGCTTATTCAAATGCAAAACTCAACAAAGTCCTCTATGATTTTGGTCACAATGACCTTCGAAAGGCCAAACAAGGTCACCGACCTTGAATAGGCATGTGACCTCTTGCTTAGAACAGGTATCTAGGTTCTGGGGACATGCTGAAGACCAACTTAGGATTTGACCTTGTTCAACCTTACTTGACACGGAGGTCATGACCTAGGAACATCAAACTTTGACGTAAGTGGGTTCACGTGCAGGCCAATACATCCTATGAATTTGGTGACCCTAGTCCAATCAGTTATTGAAATCTCAGCGGGGTCATATCGACCGCCCACCCGAGCGAAGGTTATCCAACGGGCCAAACGGGCTCGTGTTAATGCAAGTTCTAAATTGAGTATGTGTTCAGCAGTAACAGGCGGCTTGCTAAATTCGCGTAACGCTGGAACGAGGTCCAAGAGATAATGTACAGGTGCAATGAGCACGTCTCTCCCCTCCCTGTACGCTGCATCGTGGTCGCTCTGCTGTGGTCGTTCACCGAACTCTTCTGGGACCGCACACCGATGCCGAGAAGCAGGCGGGGCAAGTGAACGTAGCAATGTGCCACGATGCGCTGCTATGGCCAATTGGTGCAGCATAGTACTTCACCGTGGCGGCTGGACCGGTGCGTTGGCTGAAGATGCCAGATCTCAACGTCCGCTCGTGCTGTTCCATCACCAGCACACTTCATGGCCGAGGTTCTCTCTTCGGCGATACCGTCATACATGTGTCACCATATGTACCTCTCTTCAGCGCCACCGTAGTACAGACACCACGTTGTACACCACCACGCGTAGTGTAGCCACCTTAAGAGATAATGAAAATCCCTCTTCGCGACCGCAGCGCAAATTTGAAAACCCCATCCTTAGTGTGTTTTGGGCACGCTTTGGCTTGCGTACAGCCTCAGTTTATTGATGTCTACGCTCCCATGTACTCACCCGAGGTCGTCCGGACAAACCGCGTAATAGCTCTCGATCTGGTCTACACTGATGGGTGAGCTTGCGATGGGAAGAAGCCGTGCACCGCCGGCGGTGCGCACCTCTTATTGCGCAGCGCTGTTCCTCGGCTGCGGGACCAGCGACCGAGGCCATGAGCGGGCCTGCGTGATTTCTCGCGTCCCGTGTGGCTCAGAGGCGGCGATTGTCCTGCCTCACGACTCCCGTGCTCTGCCACACCTCCATCCTCTTTTGTAAGTTGCTACCCTGAAAACAACCGACCTTCAGTGTGCTCGGAGATACCGGTCATGCGATGATACGGCGATGTCCGGTGATAAGACGGTCAATGGTGGTACGCGCGGCGCCCCCATGTCGTTGCGCCTGAGCGCGCCCCTACGGTCAGCTGGCGAGCCAGCAGCAGCCAATGGCATCTCTTGCTGCTGGGGGATCGGCCAGCCGGCCTGGGCGCCTGCGCGGACCGGCCCGGCTCACAGACTCGCCCAGGGACGCCAGTGAGTGGGTGCACGGTGGCGATTCGCGAGGGGGGGGGGGATGCGGGAGCCGGGCTGGGTGTCTTGCGCGCAATCGCTTATCCCAATGCCGTACATATGACGTACTCATTTGGTGATCCCATCGCTTCATTATGTCGCCCATGACGTCGACGGTAGTCGGCGGCCGAACGGAACGGCGGTGGTCAAACGCAAGTCGGAGCGCAACGAGCGGCTTGCTCTGACTGCTCTTTTATGTGAACGCTCATGTCTAGGCTTCATGTGAACTAATGCTTTTTCAGCAATCCACGTTGATGCTGTTAACTTGATGCTGATGGAGGGAGAAAACGAAAACGTAAGATGTAGCAGACAAATTTGTGTAATAAAACACTCGACCCGTTTTTCCCTGACTATCGCCGTCCACGCTTCGCGCTAGGTCAGATCATGCCACTGTTTGTAAGAGGTGGAACGCTCAGGTCAGGTCACTAGCAACGAACAGGGCAAGGACGACTTGGGTAAACGGATGAAGTGATTGTTCCGTGTGTGTCACTGAGGTTTTACGACGCACCGAGCTGCTGAGACTATATGGCGCCGCCTGCCTCTCACCCTGGCGGGAAGGGTGGGCACCGCGGGGAATCGAACCCCGCACCTCTGGTTGCCCAGACGCGCAGTGGTTAACATACGCGTTAACCGTTTCCACTACCGCCCCCCCCCCCCCCCCGGGCAATTGTTCAAACTACGGTCCCCGTCTGGTGTGTTAGTTACTCTACGTTCCGGCCAGTCTACTCTCCGACCGTCTTCAGTGCTATGGAGTCCTGAAAACGACTAGATACTTGGAAGTTAAAAACAAGATATTCCAAGAACTGCGTGTCCAGACAGATGCCTGTTCGAGTGGGACTTGAAAGGCGTCTCCTCGGAATTTTAGCATTTTTAACTGGATTATACATGCGTATGTATAATATATCTACCGATATTAATTATAATATACCATTACTATATATATACTATCTACAATATCGGCATATGATATTATATATATTATAGTATATATAATATACTCTCTCTCTGTCTCTCTCTCTCTGTGTCTCTCTCCTCTCTCTATCTCTCTCTCTCTCTCGCTCTCTCTCCTCTCCTCCTCTCCCCCACCCCACACCCCTGTCCTGCTCCTAACCTCCCCGTGTCCGCTTTTGTCCGCGCTTGTTTGCCTCTGCCTAGCCCCCGCCTCCTCTTTTGTCCCTCTCTCCCCCCGCCGCCCGCTCACACACCAGTCACCTCCTAAGTCCTCCGAGTCATAGCTCCATCTGGTATTTTGACCCGTTGCTGTCGGTCCTGCAGGAATGAGTTTAGCATACCCGGAGCGAAGTCCCATTACGAGCAT